CGAACAAAATATTAGGTTAAACAAACATTGTTTATGTGAGAAATTACAGCTCGGTAGCTTTAATCCCCTTTTTCTTTAAGATAAATGTGAAGGTTATTATGAAGGTTGTCCTTCGAAATTAAATTCTCAGTGAAAGCTTTTTACATTATATGGGAAATAACGGAAAATAACATCTGCGAGTATTACGTACCATAATTAAAGTCATCACAAAATAATAAGATCGTTTTGACATTTGTACGCCCACGTTGTTTCATATTCGAAATTCTAAATTAGATCTAAACTTGAAAAAAAAATGTTCTTCATTGTCATAAGAGAGGTGCAGTTTGTCATAAAATTTATTGAATCGGTAATTTGGGGACGTAGAATTAAAATTTTACAAAATCATCTCTTATCTAATAGACAAGTCCGTCCGTCCGACCGTGGTGCTGTTTCAGCGGCCAAACCGTAAGAGATAGATATAGAGAATGTTTAAGTTATAAGTTGAGAATAGTCTGATAAGACTACAAACCGGATGTGAGTAACGTAGCACTTCCGGTTTTCGAGAAATATCGTGATTTTGTATTTCAAACGAAACCACACAAAATCTCCGAAGTTCTCAATTAATTAAATACATTTTTTTTTGGTGAACATTTGGTTCACTGGTTTGCTAGTATTATATAATGGTCGTATTTTGAATATTGTTTGGGACACTTTTTATTTAATTTTTAATACCATTAAATATATATTTTTTAACATACCAAAACCGCTATTTGACAAAATTTTTAAAAGATTTAGTAAAATTAATTGATTTTATAATTATAATTATCATTAAGAACTATATTTCCTTATTCTTTGAAATTATAGTGTCCTTATTCACTACATGACTCGGCTCTGCATTTGTTTTTTTCGAAATTAGGATGTAAAATTAAAAAATCAGTACGATCACTGCATATAAGATCGCTGTTAATCAGCTTATACTTGCAATATAAGTTAAAATTTGTAAGAAGTCAAAAGTGAGTAAAAAAACACTAATTGGGACAATGTCATATTTATCGATGACGGACCAAGGCATCTTGCTCAAAAGTGCTAATGGAAAAGAACGCCTAATAATCTGCCACGCCGGATCAGCCGGACTCGGCTGCTCTACTCGCAGCCGAGTCTAAAAGTACAAAAAATATCACGATGAAATGGAGGCAAATAAATTCACAGAGTGGTTTACTATCAAACCTCCCCGAACTGAGCATTATCATTATGGAGAGTGCACCTTACCACTCAGTTCAAATAGATAAAACATCAACTCAAGCAAGCAAAAAGGCTGATTTAGTGGCGTGGCTACAAAGATAAGGCGTTGAAGCTGACATGAATTTGATGAAAGCTGAACTGCTGGAACGGGTAAAAGAAAATAAACCTGTAAAATTAAAATATAAAAAGTATGTATTGGCACATCAGCATGGACACAGAGTGATAAGAACGCTGCCGTACCATTGTCGGTCGGTCGGTCATTGAGTTGATTGCCATAATACAAAGCCACCATTCTCCACTAAGAAAATGATGAATTTGCTGAAAGAAGCTTGTGCCGAAATCACTAAAGCAGACTAGAAAAAATTGGTAGAAAAGACACGAAAAATAATAAAGGAAGATTATGACAAAGACGTCAATTTTGATAATGTTATAGAAAGTGAAATAATGATATAAACAGGCGACGATAGCTCATCTGACGATTTTGGCTCATCATCAGAAGAAAACGATTGATTTAAGATTCAATTACTTTCGCTTTTTTTGATTTATTTTTGTGATTGAGCGAAAGTTTTTGTAAGTTTAAATTTTTAATTAAAGACTATTTGACCTTTCTTACCATTGTATCATTTCAAATTACCTACAATATTAAAGTGTATTTAAGTTTAAATTTTCAAATCATAACTTAAATACAATGCACTTTACAATACATAATCAAATACTCATGCAAGCTTGAATCTATTTATCGTGCGTATCGTGTGCTGAGTCGTATGGTTTATCACTGGTTACAAATGTCGAAACGGGCCTATTATTTTGTGATGGACTGTAACCACTTGTGCCATTGAACTCCTCTCATTCGGCGTAAAAAGTGTATTATTGAATTCTAAACAAGTTATTGTTGCAAATTGATGACTATAATAGTATCAATACGCAAAACTAATTTATTAACATTTTCCCTGTCGAAAAATATGCGAGTGTTTTCAAGCAATCCACTCTATCGAATACGTAAGTACAAACAGCAGCAACAGAATTTACCCAAAACTGACAAAGGAGATTGTTCAGCTTCCATACATGTTTGGCCTAGATTCAGGTATATAGAGCACGTAGATTAACAGATAGTTGCCTGTTTTTAAAGTTAATGTATAAGAGTAACTTATAAAATCAGGTGTCATCTATGCATTTCCGGTTATAATAAGGAAGGTACTCTGTGACAGAAACTGTGTGATGATTGTGAATGAACCACAGATTAGAGAGAATTTTTAAACTCTCGTTAACCAAAGAAAGCTAAGAGATTTAGGTTATATAGCTATATATTCAGTAGCTTCATTATTTTTGTTATGTATTTAATATAACCATATTTTAGATTTTTAGTGTATCCCACCTTATAATTTTATTTATTTATTAATTTATAGTCAGGCAACTTTGGCCATTAGATAGCTTAAAGTCTAAAATATATACAGATTAAAATGTGTTTATGGAGGTGTTTGGCGAAAAATGTATGGCAATAGACTTTATGATGTCGCCTACCATCTATAATAATTGTCTGAGCACAGTTGCATGTAGTGAAAATGATAATATAGTTGTGGATATTAATACCATAGCGTAATAAAAAAAAATATTATCGATTTTTACAAAACAGATTTGTTTTTATGCTATATAAACAACTTCGATCAGTCTTTGGCTGAATGTTAGTAGTAATGGGTGTAGACCCATAGCCATTAAAAATGATTCGTATGTTTTCCAAACCGGTAAAATTAAAAGTCCTTTTTAAAGTAAATATATAATACAAAGGTGTCCGTTGAAATCTAATGACTGTAAATTAAATTATAAATTACGCCAAGAATTACCGTGTATGTCAATATTTTTTGTGCGTTTGGGCCAATTTGAGCAATCTCCTTTCACCTACTGATTTTGCGGTTTATTTTTCTTGATAAATTTAAGAATATAACATCATTTCTTTCAAAAACACGGTTTATTTTTATTTTTACCCATTTTTCGACCATTGATTTGATACTATCAAAAAAGGTAAAGTGTAATATAACTGGAGCATAGTTTGAATAAGAAAAGCATAACTTTGCTCAAAAAGCTTCTACAATGGAGATTGTTTGTGGAACATACATCCTTATTCATAGTTTCATATATTTTTAGAAATACTTCATTACGTTGATTTAACTTTAAAAATATGTTAGATAACATATTATTCTTTAAAATAATACATCTGAATATATTTCATAATTAATAGTGTAAACAATATTCCCTTTTTTTGGAGCAAATATTGGAGCAAAGTAGGACCATTTTACCGATAATCATTCTTTATCATTTTCTAAAGTTGCTCACACCGAGTTTAATTGTGCCCCAAGTGCCAATGGGAAAGGGTGGACGCCTAATTATCTGCCACGCGCCGGATCAGCCGGGGGAGGTTTTGTGCATGATGCTCTACTGCTTGTAGAGCTGTACATGCTGTCGAAGTGACATTACTTTGTACTATTTGACTTTTTAATGAGAGCCGTATGGCGTCACCTGCCTATAAAACGTCATCACATTTGCTAGAGAAACGTTTACCCGGCACATTCGAAACATTTTTATTTTCGTATTTTTACTGATATATGCAACAGAATTATAAATATCCATAGTCACATATACACAAATAAATAACGCAAGAACGTTTTCAAAACTTGTCAAAAAGCCTATATTGGTACAAAGATGAATGATCCTGGAAACGGTTCTGGGCAACTTTTTCTCGCGGAAAATGGAAATTTAAGAGAATTTGTGCAGGGGATTTAGTTATATAATAATATGTCTGTTTTATACTCTTTTACACACTGAAATAGCTTTATGCACCTTTGATTATTTTAACTTGGCATTATTTTTATACGATAATAAGTAATAGTAACTAAAATGAGTAAATAAACTGTCTTTATGGGTTCCCTAAAGTCGATTAGTGAGCGTATATATTTAAGCATGCTATCCTGTTAATTTGAAGGAGTTGATTGTCTATCCGTTTGTCCGTCCTATTTATACACGGCACAACAAATTACCTCATCCCACTTGATGTTTTAAGTTTGATTAGAGAGTTTGCTTTCATTTTCTTTGAAATAAAATCACAATAAGATGATGAAGCATTAAATTTCATTGATATCAAGTGTGGTATAACATCATTCGGCCCGCTGATGATAAGCGTCCACCATAGCACAGATTACTAAAGCTATCACTTGTGCCATTGGTACCCCGACCCAATTCCCTACTCTGCGGAACCCTGGAACCGTCTTCACCGATAAAAACACGACACCACAAAAAGGTAGTGTTATTTTACTGTGCTCTTCTGTAAGGTAAAATTTCTAATTGTTTTTCTTATTAGTATGCTAAACATGTAGCATTTTTGTATTAGGAGGGCAAAATGTTTTACGCCACATGATGTTAGTGGTGGGAAATTTCAGATCAGGCGCGAAAATCAACGGTGCAAAAGTTTTGAACTACCGCATCAGCCATCCTCATCTTAGCGTCCCGCAGATATGCTTTTACACGCCTCTTTTGGAGAACCCTGGATGGTAGAAAAGAGGAACAAGTGGAATTATTTGCCCCTGCGTAAAAAAATCCACTTGCAAACAATACGACAAAGAAATGGGTTACTAAATCTCTTTTTGTGTAAGAATAATTGTCACCGTAACCCGGTGACAACGTAGGTCAGCGCGTGTGGTGCTCTGAAGGAAAGGGGAAGGAATAAGGGAGAACAACTCATCAGAACACTCTCGGTGGTATAGTCGGTAGAACGAGCTAAAACTCACCTCGTGGATTGATGGAAGCTGGATAGCCGCGAGTTCCTCGAACTGCCACCGGTGGAGTTTCTGTGCATCGGATGTCTGAGGTTGTGCAGGCCAGGCGTGCGGGCGCCGCTAGTGCCGGAAGCTTCACCTGCCACATGGAACCACTCAGGGCTTTCGGAAACGTTGCATGCTTCCCTCAACATTATATTATCTAAGTACTCTTCTACAGCCTATCATTATTACTGCGTCGCAGTACCGCGATATAATATACCGTGTTTGTATGTTTGTTACCCAATGACACAAAAACAGCTGAACACATTTTGATGTAATTTTTCACACATATAGTTTGTTACCTAGATTGAGACATAGGATACTTATTATCCTGGAAAAATCAAAGGTTTCTAAGGGATTCCCAAAAAGTAAGGCTGACGCGTATGCAGTCCGGGTAAGTACGCGTCGTAGGCGGCCACTAGTAGGTAATATTTAGTCATAGGGCAACAGTCGCGTCCGTGTTGCTTTATGTACAAGATTATACCTACCCAGTACATAAAATAAATACCAATATTAGCAAGCAATACGCACCATCGAATGAGTCTGTCGTCAACGATGCTTGGGAGAAGTCATACTCAGTTGAGGCACCCATACTGCGATGCAACATGGCCGCCACTCTTTCCCTTGCTTCGCGTTCAATGTTCATGTCGTCTGAGCTCTAATCAACAAAAAATACATATAGGTATATATAAATAACTCTAATGAAAATTTAAATATTCTAATTACTAATTGGTTAATAGAAATCCAGGTTTCGTTTTCTCTCAATACCAAGGTGCCTATCTAATATTTTATTAGTATCTACTAGGAAAGGTAGGACGTTGACGTGTTAAAGTAAACGAAATTATATTAGTCTGTTAGTTAAATTATCAATAAATTGCAAAGATACTCGTAAATCGCGACAAAGTTTGGAAGTGCGGGGACGTCAATTCTGAGTAAAAATTATACTGACAATGCGAACAACGACGTCATGCGACTATTTAAATAAATATAATTATTTCTGTAATCTTTTGACTATGTGAAAAAAAAATATACATGGGCAATTTTTTTTGATAATCTACCTGATAGACGAAGTAAAGAAGTTTGTCACACCCTTTTACTGAATTGTCTTTAAAGAACAAAGAGACCTAAATAGTAAAGTTCATTATATATTAATGTTCCATTGTTGAACTGTGAAAAATGTAGTAGTAAAGACTGGTCAATAAAGCTTGTATGCCAATAAATTTCACTTTGACTTTTGTATTTATTTCTCGGTTCTAGTTCTAATAGCGTAGCGAGATTCTTCGTCCAAGGTTCTAGTCCCGGTTATATTGTTTTTGCCTTTGTACGTGTTTTGTTTTCAACTGCCTACTTGAAGGGTACACCTAGGGTTACCAACTTTTTTTCTATCAAATATATATAGTGTTTCGAAGCTATTACCTGTAAAAATATAGTAGATGACAAATAAATGGAAAAAAATATAATATGTGGTTACAATATTTACTTTATTTTTGTAATGAGTATATTTTTGCTGCTCTATACCTTAATACTTCAGTTTTTATTTATAGAAAGCTTTTGAAGTGAAACTTCTTTATTACTGGCAAAAGTGTGCTTCAAGCAAAATATAGTAGTGTCGCCTACTATATACAGGGCGTTCCACGGCTACCTCACACGGAGGGAAAGTGTATTAAATAATGAAGATAGGATATTTTACTGAAAACAGACATCATTTTATTTTTAATAATAACTAGAACTGCATTAACAGTTTTTTAAAAATCGCTATAACTGGGAATCAGACCCGTGAAATTTTGAAAAAATAAACACAACATATTTTATGATAACCATCGAAAGGGTTAATCATAAGGTTTATTTTTTGCTAATAAACATAGCATTTTAAATGAAAGGAATGTCTTATTACGTGATAAAAATAATAATGTAATATACAGACCGTAGTACGTTTGCATTTCTTTTTGAACTCACAGTTACAATGCGATTTGCTGAAATTTATTAAAAATAATAATTCGAAAATGGAACACAAATTTTCAAACGTCTGTTCTTTTGTTTTTGTGAGTTTCATTTTCGTTTATTTGCAATTTACTTACCATGGCGTATCAAAATAAAATGGATTTAATTGAAGGTTACTTTATGAACCACAAAGACATATTAGCTTTGTGGTGGTACCGCGACAGATACCCTGATAGAGACGTACCTTCTCGATACGTGTTTAAAAGGTTAGTAGTGGATACTTTAAGAAATTTAGGACGTTTTGATATGCGCTAAAGAAACCGCAGCAGTGGATGATAAACGGCAACGATGATGAACTCAACATTTTAACTTACTTTGGGGCGTATCCGATTTTATATTAGTTTTTGTTCAAAAAAATACTTTTCTTTCTTTTAAAATGTTATGTTATTTAGCAAAAAATAATCCTTATGATAAACCTTTTCTATGGTTATCTTAAAAAATTTCATTTTTTTTTTGGAGTTTATTGGAGTGTTGTTCTTAAGAATCGATTTGCATATATAAGGGGCCCGGTATGAGAAAAATGTGAGGAGTAAAATCTATCGGTGAATAACCTCGTTACGTTTTTGGTGCGCATCATATGTCGCGCAACTTTGACAAACAAAGATGACGGATTGACATTAATAAAAAAATTAAAATCTGAACTGAATTTAGATATTGTTTCTGATAGAGCAATGGGGACAACGAGGTATGGTACAACCACTGATGCGGTATTTTCAAGATTCGTGAACCACGTATCTACGAACGTCCATGTGTCTTATTTTAGTTACCATAAACCACTTGTCACTGTAATTAATAATGCAGATTGTTGATTTAATTAATATTTAAAAAAATGATAATAGTCTGATAATAATAATTACATAATTTATCAACATTCCTAATGATATATTTATGCACATCTGAAATTGACTATTGTAAAAAGTTTAATGTAAAATATTTCGTCGATTAGTTATAATAAATGTATATGAAATGAATAAATATATATTTATATATGTATATTATTTTCATTAATTTGTTAATTTACACTTTCATACAGTATCAATCTTTTTTAAGTTAAATAAACTCTTTTTGCGTCTGGTTAGACTATCGAACTTAAGGAGTAAACTCCAGTCGTGCGTCGGAGCTGGCACACACATTTTTTTTTCGAAATTTCACGAGTTTGATTCCCAGTTGTAGCAGGCGATTTTAAAAAATCTGTGAATGCAGTTCTTATTATTATTAAAAATAAAACGATGTGTTCTTTCAGTAAAATGTCCTATCTTCAATATTTAATATACTTTCCCTCCGTGTGAGGTAGCCGTGGGACGCCCTGTATACTTTTTTAGAAATACAGTCAGGTCATAAGTATTGTCACATAGTAAAAACTTTTCTTTAAGAATGCTGGCCACAAAAAAGTTTATTGAATTCGAATTTCGAATTGTTCATGAAAATAAAAATTTATACTTATTAGAATTTTACTCATTTTTAAATATGGAGTGGACGCTTAAAGAAGACCGTATTCCAGTAATAACTGGAGTAATAACACAATAGCGTTGCATCGTTGCGGTTACGCGCCAATTAAAATTTTTGACATACTGAAAAATTTGAATATAACCAAAAGATTCGTTTATCGTACCATCAAACGATACAATGAAGACTCTAGTGTAGACGACAGGTCAAGAAGTAGTCGCCCTCGGTCTGTTAGGACTCCAGCAGTGATAAAAGCTGTGGCGCGAATTCAAAGAAATCCCAAACGTAAGCAGAAACTGTTGGCCCTTCAGATGGGGTTAAGCAGAACCACGGTGAAAAGGGTGTTAAATGACGATTTAATGCTTCGGGCATATCGAAGTAAAACAGGACATCGTTTGAATGCTCGTCTAATGGACCTGAGACTGAAGAGATGCCGCGCTTTGTTGAAGCGGTACGCGGAAAAAAAATTTCGGGAAATTCCTTTTTCGCATGAAAAAATTTTTAACGTGGAAGAGAGCTACTACAAACAAAATGATAAGGTGTACGCACACAGTAGTGAAGAAGCGAGCAACCGTATTCCGCGTGTCCAACGAGGTCATTTTTCATCCTCGCTCATGGTATGGTTAGGAGTTTCTTATTGGGGCTTAACAGAGGTACATTTTTGTGAGAAAGGTGTAAAAACGAATGCAGTTGTGTATCAAAATACAGTCCTGACGAACCTTTTGGAACCTGTTTCTCATACCATGTTCAATAACAGGCACTGGGTATTCCAACAAGATTCGGCGCCACGAAGAGCACACAAGACTGAGAAAATCTGATAGAAATCGACTTCATCCGGCACGAAGACTGCCCCTCATCCAGTCCAGATTTGAGTCCGTTAAATCTAACGGAAAATCACCTAATCAGAAGATATGGCAACACTTGGAGGAAAAGGCGTGCTCAAAGCCCCATCCCAATTTGGAGTCACTCAAGACATTCTTGATTAAGGCAGCCGCCGATGCTGACATGGACCTCGTTCGTGCTGCGATAGACGACTGGCCGCGCAGATTGAAGGCCTGTATTCAAAATCACGGAAGTCACTTTGAATAAACTTTATTGTCATAAGAATCTATGTTTTGTTAAGTTCATTTTGGTATATAAATGGTTACATAATGAATAAACTCGTTTCAATTATTTTATATTAAACATGTGGCAGAATTTATGACCTAACCAAATATAGTATTTGATCCCCTAATATGGTAGGATACTATATTATATAGTAGGGTTGGCAATCCTAGGTACACCTAAGATTATATCCTAAAAGTTATATTCGCCGTGTAGGTTTTTATAACTATGTATTTCTATATTGCCTTCGAAATGATTGAATAAACAAAAAGTTACCTACGAGTGTCGGCCGAGTTACATCAAAATTCAAAATGATTCATTCAGACAACTTGTTAACAAGCTTGTAAGAGTCGGAACGCTATCGATTCGTTAATCTCTTGTGAGAGATACTTACCTACCTAAAAAGAACCGGTGATAAATTCAACACAAGAGTATTTTTTTTCTCCTTGTCTGGGAAGACAAGATTAGACGACATTTACATCTTTTTGTACTAAACAGTAGATACAACAGGTTTAAAAATTTGGAACAAGAAAATTATTTCTTTAGCTTTGTTTTTTAACGAGTTGATGTTACAAATGGTTTATGCCATTCAATATTTTCATTGTATTATATTTAGATATATCATTTAAAGGGGTGACGATGCGGTAAAGTAAACGAAATTCTATAAAGTCCATCAGTTAGATTATAGTACGCGTCAAAGTTTGGGGGTGCGGTCTCGTGACGTCACTTTTAAGTAAAAATTGTACTAAAACTGCATAATTTAGATAGCATTCGGTTTTCTTCACCCTCAGCTAGGTTACAGCTAGGGTCATGTATGGAGCTATGTCTGCCGACACAAAAAGCGTAGTAAAAATACTAGGTAGCCGCTAGGTCGCCAATAGTTAATAATAACAATGAATCTTTATTCAGTATATTTTTTTACATATAAGTGACTTAGATTTCAGAAAAAGCACAAAAGGTAAAGAAAAATACGTAGCCTGCACTAGGAATATACTGTGTTTCAGGCAAAAATATCTTAACTGCTTTGAATAATCAATCGCAAAATTAAATAATAATAATAAAAAAATACTAAATCTACATAAAATTATTCAGTAGGTATGATTTGAAAAAATTCACACTATGTACTGATTGACACAGATTAAAGCGCTTCCGCAATGACTAGCTAGGTCGAAATTACGCAATTGATAATTTCACAAAATGAATTTATAAATAACACGAAACAATAAACAAACTCATCCGATCACATCAGCGGTCGTATGATAAATTCTTACAAAAGTGCTCGCTAATTAAACCAAAGGGGAGCACTTGTGTAAGAATTTATAACCTACCGGTCTCGGACAGCTGACGCCACTCGCCGCGTAGTCAGATGAAGAATCCATCTCCACTTCCGATAAATCCCTCGATGGATTCTTTGCGAACCAGACGCCCAGGTCGTAAGTTAGTTTGGCCTCCCTTAACTTCTGGTCCCACAGCTGCGAACAAAAAGGTTTTGTGTGAGGACTTTTAAGATTCAACTTTACTGAACTAGGGTATTATATACTTTCGAACACATCTATCGGCCCACTTAGTGTTATAAGTTTCAACAGTCTGAAGCAAAAATGTATGCTTATATTTGAGCAATAACTTTAAAAACACAAGAAAAAATGTTAATAAGTCGGCTTCAAAACTGCATAGGTAATATTTAACTTTTAATAGTTTCACCTGTATGTTTGTATGTATGTAACTGACTCGTTTGGACTTGATTTTGCCCAACTTTAAGCGATCAGATTTACTTTAAACTTAGCAAATATATGTAGATTAGATGACAATACAATATTATGGTACCACCGAGCTGATCTGATGATGGGACTGGAAGGTGGCTGATGGAAAATTGGACTGCCTACTAGTAAACATATTGAGTTTGGGCTCATAAGATTCGTCTTAACACATTTTGTTCATTTCTTCTGATGACGAGGACCTGATGATGGACTGGAAGGTGGCTGATGGACCCTGGACTGCCTACTAGTAAATATATCGAGTTTGGGCTCATGAGATTTGTCTTAACATATTATGTTATATTTTTCTGGTGACGAGGACCTGATGATGGACTGGAAGGTGGCTGATGGACCCTGGACTGCCTACTAGTAAAAGAATCGAGTTTGGGCTAATGAGATCCATCTTAACATAATAAAACTTGGCAATTAAATGTAGATTAGATGACAATACAATATTATTGTACCATTAAGCTGATCTGATGATGGGACTGGAAGGTGGCTGATGGATCCTTGTACTGCCTCCTAGTAAACATATCGAGTTTAGGCACATTAGATTCGTCTTAACACATTATGTTCATTTCTCCTGATGACGAGGACCTGATGATGGACTGGAAGGTGGCTGATGGACCCGGGACTGCCTACTAGTAAACAAATCTAGTTTGGGCTCATTACATTCGTCTTATTATATTCTGTTTAGTTCATGTTAAAGGGGGGGGGATAAAGGGGGGGGGGGGTCCTAGTCTTGCAATAGTGAAGCCTTATCGGAAATGGAGAGGATACGTATTCAGTCGCATTAAATTCGTTCTATGTTTTGTAATACACTAAAAGGAGAAAAATAAATTAATAGTTTAAAGAACTAAAAACACGCTTTTACTTAAAGTTTTTTGACTTTTTAGTGCAGTAAGTAAAAGCGTGTTTTTAGTTTTTTAATTGGTCAATATAACATTTACTTTAAGCTAAGGTCTCTCGAAGATTAAAATGATATGTGGGCTCTTAGATGTGTCCGGAAGTGTAGTTTGGAAGTCATTTTGTCGTGCCTCGACAGTGTCCACGTTCGACTGTTGGTTTGGTGCTCAGAACATTATTTGTTGTAATATATTACATAATTTATTTGTTTGTTTATTTATTAATAATAATAATAATTTAATAAACAAAAATAATAATTACATGCTTTACTATACTATTACATAGGTGTGTGACACAGCTACGACTTCATATTATAGCTTTATAGCTGCTGGTACTAAAAAAAGAATACGAATCTGTGCTCTAAGTACCAGCCATACCATAACCATATATCATACAAGTACACTTTTTTTGGAAAATGCTCAATCCTGAATGAGAAATTTTTAAGATTTGTTTTTAAATTTCCTGTGTTACCATACTCATATCTTATTTTTGAAAATCTACCTACTTTGCCGCCTTTGATACTATACGACTCATATAGCTGTCCCAGCGAACTTCGTACCGCCATAAAAAATAGGGGTTGGTGGTAGAAGGGTGAAAATTTAGGGTTGTATGTACTTTTGTATGATGGTGGTGCAAAAAAAAATGTTTAAGTAGGGACCACCCTTAACATTTAGGGGAATGAAAAATAGATGTTGTCCGATTCTCAGACCTACTGAATATGCATATAAAATTTCACGAAAATCGGTCGAGCCGTTTCGGCTAATAGTTAAAACTGTCTTTATCAGTTATTAATAAAATGTGAAAAAATAATTATTGCACTGGAAATTAATAATAAATTCACGATGAGAGTAAAATTAACGTAATAGTTGCACAGAAAAATTAAAATAATACGTATAAGTCACTGCTACGATCGATACACAAATGAAACCAAAAAAAATGTATATTGAGGAAGACAGGAGACCGGCTTCCTTCTTATACCTACTTCGTGATTTTTGCTGGCTGAGAGGTGACCCAGGTAGACATCTAGCGGGGATAACTGATCGATTGATCGTTGATCGGTTATCGACCGGTGAAGGCCGAAGATCAAATTGAATTGCGAAAAAAAAAGAAATTATTAAAAATAAAAATCGCGATGGTAAAATAGGGGTTGATTGTAAAGGGTTGAAAATTCAGGGTTATATGTATTTACTAATGCTGTATAATAAAATAAAAATGTTTTATCTAAAATTGAAAAAAAAAATTTAGGGGTGGATTGGATTACCCTTAACATTTAGGGGGATGAAAAATAGATGTTGTCCGATCTGTCCCAGCGAACTTCGTACCGCCATTAAAAATAGGGGTTGGTGGTAGAAAGGTGAAAATTTAGAGTTGTATGTGTTGTATGTATTTACTAATGCTGTATCATAAAAAAAATAAAAAAAAAATCTAAAATTGAAAAAAAAAAATTAAGGGTGGATTACCCTTAACATTTAGGGGGATGAAAAATAGATTACATCCGATTCTCAGACCTACTGAATATGCATATAAAGTTTCACGAAAATCGGTCGAGCCGTTTCGGAGGAGTTTAACCACAAACACCGCGACACGAGAATTTTATATATTAGATTGATTTTAACTACCCATACAAAATATTTGTAAAAAAAAATGCTTTTCTATAAATTGTTGTACCTAATATACTTACTCGTATAACTCGGCATCAAAATCTGTGAGTGAACAATCAATCATCCCCTGTTTCTACCCGGCTGCGCAATGCAAGAGCGCGAAGCGCGACGCGCAGACAGGGTTATGTGTTTAACAGTCTATATATGTATGTTTGTTCCTTCGTGGCACACTAGAGACCAAACGCCTGGACCGATTTTGATGATTCATACATCAATCAATTCGTCTCAATCATGGGAGTGCTACTAAAGATATGATAGTAATCAAAATTCAGTATGGGCAAAATTAGGCGCCATATTGTGACGAAGTAAAAAAAATAAATTGACAAAATATGTCGAGTGGGGTATCACTGTCTAGATAATCAAAAATCATGTTTAGGTTCCTAACACCATTTTTCATTTTATATGATTGTTTAGGATCTACAATGCTTTAAAGTTGTATATTAGCCACTTACGCTTTTAATTTCAATCTTACGTTTGTATGGATTTTTGTTGGTCTTTCACCAAAAAAATACTGAATGGATTTTAATGAAACTTAACAGTAATATAGCTCATATATGATAATTACATATATATAATAATTTATGGAGTAATTGAGTGAATTGGCCAATATATAACAATAAGTGTCACATAAGACGGAAAAAAATCTCCCATCTGCGAGCCATTTTGGCCTGCACTGCAAAAACAATAAAAGTTACATGAATGTAATGTAGAGTGAAAATGTATCTCTTAAATAGTTCTAAAAAAAAGTCCGTGACACCATATATCTATTTTTAATGTGTAAGTCATTACCGCTAAAATAGTGAATCAAAACTAAAATAATATTTGATATCTATTTCCAAAATGCACATTTTGTATTAACAAATTATGTTTTATCAAAACAAATACTTTTATCGCATTTGATATTTAAAGACGATAAACTTTGCTTTTTACAGTATGTCATTTCGACAAATATTTAAAAAGTTACAACGATGACAAAGTGATAGCGCGGTGTACTATGTAAAAGAATAAAAATGGGGTATTCGCAGTATCTGATCCTATACGAAGTACTAACAATAAAACTGTGATACAGTTCCTTCTTATTGAATGATGAAAAATTTATTATCATAATAGGTATTTATGATTATTGAATGTTAATGAAAAACTCAGAATTTTACTGTTTCTCATTTTTTTAACGATATTACTTAATGTTACAAAAAAGGTTTACTTAATATAATGACAAATAACCCATTTTTCGCTAGTAAAAAATATAATATTTTATTAATATATTTAGTATAAATTAATAGAAGATACTTATTGGAATCCCTGTATTTATTAATCAGGTCTCGATAATATTGGTTTTGTAATTATTCTGCAAAATTCAAAGTAAGTAACGTAGATTTTTATAGATAAATCACCCCTTTCATCACCCTACGCCTATAAGTATTGCGATGTTGTAGCTAAGAACCAAGTTCCCATCTACTTCTATATGGGAATTCATTATATTCGATTTAGCTATTAGGGCACGGAAGCGCAACAAACAAACTCACTTTCGCATCTATAATATTATATTATACTTACTAGTGATCCACCCGGGCATTGTACGGGCGAAATTTATTTATCGGGATAAAATATAGCCTATGTCACTCGGACAAAATGTATTTAAATAAAGAAAAATGTTATAATAAATAATGTAGCTACCTTATGATGAATTAATATTTGAAACCGATTCAGTAGTTTGACAGATTATTTTTTACAAACATACAAATCTTGCCTCTTTATAATATTAGTATAGATAGTTAGGATAAGATAAGTATTTAATTGATGAAAAAGATTTAAAAATAAAGTAAGTAATAGGTTTATTTGATTATCTTTGTAAAAGTTACTTAGCATTTGTGCTTAACAGTGATACGTTACTCGGTATTTTTATAACAAAAAAAAAATTTGGAAATTAATTGACATGATTGCACTACTGGGAGTACTCTTCATTCGAGCTTTACACTACCAATAAAAAAGGGTCGAACACAAAGTCTTTGACCTGTTAAATGTGAACGCTTTAAAAGAAAACTACAAAGAGAACTATAAATTGATAATAAATGACATTGCTATGGTGCTCTACCTAACGTTATGAAAATTTTATTATGAGCCTTTAGTTTAATCAAATATTATGAACTTTGCTTTGGTGATTGCATAATTATTTAATTTAGTGATCTGGGGCAGTTGCCACCATTGTCCAAAACAACAGACGTGAGTTACTGCTTTCTTCAACCTGTGACACAAACGTCATTGATTGGTATTGTATATAGGGTGATTAAAAACATTTGAAGTTAACTTCTGGCAACTACATATATTGGCTTTCTGTGAATTATGTAGGTATATCAAATTATGAGACTAGGGACTGACACTGAATTTGTGTATATCACAATCTTAGACGTCCGGCATTGACATGACAATGCAGCCACTGCCAATTTTAAATAGTCGACGAATAAAAGTAAATGAATTTTATATTTACTGCTAAACTATTAAAAAAAACATAAACAAAAGATGACTTTTCGAGTAAGTGCTAGTTTACTATAAAATTTACATACATTAGAGATATTTATGTAACGACTTGATTTAACTTCACACATTTTTACGAAAATTGAGGCCCATCTGTAGCCTTGACCCCGCGGGTAAAGTCTTTATATGTCTTTATAAATCAATCTTTTAGACCGACGCAAGGTACTTAATAATTCCCGCGATATTAATTCCCTTACTGAAGTAACAAGACTACGGTATATACCATCTTAAAATACTAACTAACTAAAAAGTGTGAAATAAAAAAGGTAAATTTAAAAATCAAAAAACCCGACTGCTTAATTATACTTCAAATAAAAACTGAAAAAAAAACAAGTCCAGTAGTCTATAATTCTGTTAATAAGGAACAAAGCTACTTTAACAGTCGGGACCCATTAGATATTCAAGAATACATAATATTTTTCAACAGTGGGTCCTGACTGTTAAAGTAGCTTTGTTCCTTATTAACAGAATTATAGACTACTGGACTTGTTTTTTTCTTTTCAGTTTTTATTTGAAGTATAATTAAGCAGTCGGGTTTTGTGATTTTTAAATTTACCTTTTTGTTCGTGGGGGTAGGTTTTTTTAAAATTATGGGACCGACTTCGTGGTATACCCTTTTCAATAAAATAAGAATTATCAAAATTAGACTATTCTGTACGAGGTTATGTGTAATCCATAAATAAATATATACGCGCCGACTTGAGAACCTCCACCGTTATTTTCGTCGGTTAAGAATTGATTTTAACCATAACTAATTAATGCCTTTACTTTGTAGTTTTGCATAGCAGATGTATTTTTATACATTTGGATGAATGTACTAATAATGTAAAATGTTACAAAATATTGTGTACAATTTTTTTACGAGTAGGCTTGGAGAATTTTCATTGTTTAACTATTTTCGGACGAACGAATTTGCGAAATGAAAGGGAAACAGAGTAAGAAACGTGCGAAATTTCAATCGAAATGTCGTTTTTCGTTAAAATAGAGTAGGCCTCCAGGTTCGGTGTAATGTCGTTGTCAGTGTTGGTTTCACTGCCACGGAAAATCTATAAAAACATCTTCTAGGTATTTTATTTACGATCAGTTTCAATAATAACTATTAATCTCCAGTAAGAGATACCACGTGTAAAGCTTAGCTGCCTATTTAGATATTTTTGTTAATTAGTTCAAAATTACAACAGTTACCAATAAACGTAACCAGAATAAGCTTAAATACATTAATATTACGGTTAATTATTAATATAAATTTTACGGTTAGTCACCGTATTATGGCCAATACCTTTAGATAATAACTTTTTTACTCACCTGTGTTTATAAAGTTTTCACACACATCACTCATTCAATGAAACAAGTTTTTCAACGGGTTTAAAATGCGTTTTAAATACTTTTTTGCAGAAATTGACGTTTAAAAAAGTATAAAAACGCAAATTGAAAAAAAATGTTTACTCACTTTGAGTGTAGCGTGTGGATTGGTGTCTTTTGCAGATTCCGAAAGAGCGAAGATTTGGTATGCGGTGCCGACATCGTCCACCACAACAAAGAGCAGGCCAGCTATCTCCCTGCTGTTCGGCCGGGAAGTGTACTTCGGGAAATGCATCATCTTATCCACCATGTATTTAGGCCTACAAACATAATCTCTTTGCATGTATAAGGAAAAATACATTAAGAAAATTCGCTGGTACCTACATTTTAATGTCCATGCACTTAAACATCCTCCTCTTACTTCAAAACGCGGACTAAAGTTAGTCTTGGTTTAAATCTAGTGTTGTCTTTGTCTTCTTTTTAGCAAACAAAATTGACAGCATCAGTTTTAGTCCAAGTATGACTTAAGTCTACGTTTAGTAATAAGGCGTCTAGCGTGTTTATTTTCTGGTTTACTTATGGACTACTCAGATCACATAATTATATTCGATGTCAAAATATAAATTCGCCAAAGCAAAATGCGTCGTACATATTGTGTACAACAGTCAAAAATCAAGTTACCATAAAAAGCCAAATTAAAACATTCTCAATAGAAAATTGTTAATTTTCAAATTCAGTTGGAGTAATTTTACAGTTTTGGGTTACTTGGGCTGTTGGCTGTATATAAATAATAATTTGTATAATTTTAGTATTGTATCATAAAGTTTAAGAGCTTAACCTTATATTATGTATGGAACATATACCTGATTTGTTTGTATGGATGCGGCGAGCTTTTAGAAAGCTTCTTGCATATCAACAACATATCCGTAAGGAGAAAAGCGCGAACTTCGTACTGTAAAAATCACAGTACTTTATTAACATAAGTTGAATATTTATGTTTTTTAATACTTATCAAATACATTATTCGCTTTTTGTAAATTCATTCGCAGAAGCCATATATTACTAAAAATAATTAAATATTTTATTATTGCAATAGGAACCCGAGATAGGTGTAAAAATGATAATGTGTATATGACCATTATAAAGTTGTAAAAAGATTTTTTTATTTTATTAAAAATATATAGTTCATTTATTCGCATCTATCTCATTGATAAAAAAATCGGATGCATCCGAGACCCCTCGCAAGCTTTAAGATGCCAAATAAAAAAAATGAATTGCTGCTACTCTTGCCTCCTTTACGTTGTCCCTGAAGCGTAGGTCGCCTTGGTGAATTAGAGTCCTGCTGTGGGTGGGTAAGCAGTTTACCATTGGAGCCTTGAGGTTCAGTTGTGAAAACATGCGGAAATACCGCTCCATCTCTTCGTCTTTGAAGTCCTGTAAAGGCTGGACGTTTTTATAATAATAATTTTGTTAGAATAAAGTTCACAAGTAATTGTTTTATAGTAACATGTTTATTATACCCGCAAGCAGGTCTGTAGTTTAAGGATGCGTAAGGCATTAACCAGACAAAAAAAAGGTGTGTAGTTTAAGATTTATTTCATCCGTCTTGTTTCATTCATAGTTGTCACGTCAAATACATAGTCATAATCATTCATCTGAATGATTGGTCTCGCTTCGCTCGACTAGATACCGCCGGCGTACTTGTCAAATGCGGCAACAAATACTGCACTAAAGTCGGCGTACCCGAGCTGTCACCGAGCCAGTCACACTCAGGCAGGCCATCGTCACTTCTAACAAAATAACTGAGGCTAGCCTTTTGTGACCACAACTATCAGATCAAAAATACAATTCTGCTAAAACAAAAAGTATTAAATCTACACTTAGTCGTGTATCTCTGTTAAGATTTTAATTTTAGTCAGGTTTTACTTCAAAATTTATGCTGGTGTGTTGGTATTCTGCAATAAAATAAAATGTCTTCCTTCGTCAATCAAGTCGAAATAAAATATTGTTTTCAAAAGAATTAATTGCAATGAACCTGAAGAAACCTACGCCTAATTGTATAAGTACACAAAAATATTAATATATTCGCATTTAATTAAGTGCATCTTTTTTCAGTAGTTTATGAGCTACATTTATAACCAGTAACGTAGTAAGTATATTATAACTACCTACATTTATAACCAATAGAACACAGCATAAACACAATATTTTCCTAATTACTTGGGTAGCAGTTGAGCAGCTGGCTACATGATTTTTGACATACAAAAGCATCCTTCCAAATTGACATACACACACTACATCAATGAGTTGCCACATTTACGGATCTGTTGTTTTCTGACAGCGCGGTATCAATTCCAGTGAAACGAGACCAATCATTCAACTACATAGTTGATATAGTATAATTGTAGTTATAAACGGGATTGTTACCATGTACCTTGTTTTTTATGAGTCTCCGATATTTCGGCATTGTTGCAAGCAAAAGACAACGTCAGAGGGTGGACCGATATGTCTGCCAATAACATCTACCCGCAATTACTTCAGTTACTCCGTGATCATGGCGCTTGCAACAGTGCCGAAATATCGGTGACTCATCAAAAACAAGGTACATGGTAACATTCCTGTTAATAGCTATAATGTTAGTGACCATGAAAGTTTAAAACAATAGTATAAATGTGTTAGTTAAATTAAAACTCTACCTCACAAATACACTTAAACATGGTGTCAACCAAAAGTACCGTTAATGTGGACAGGTTAGTTAAAGTTAACACTTACTATTTCGTAAACGTCAATGGAATTTGCTAAAGCGTCCAGTTTCTCCAATTCTTCTCGTTGTCTTATGGATCTGTTTAGATCCAGCACATAGTTCTTGGCGAAAGATTCCTGTTAAAACGTTTATGTTAAAAGTACTTTATAGTTTATAGTATGTTAAAAAACGTTAACGTTTGTGTTCCTGTATCATGAAGTTATATATCTTTGTCCTGTATTAACTCCAATAATATATTGGACGCAAAAAATGATACAAAGTCTTTTACTTATAAAAACCCGTGAAAAATATTATAAAAACATGTGAGAATTATCCTTTGTAAAAAATTGCGAGAAAGATGATTTTTTTTCAGTAACTGTGTTTTTGGACTGTTTCCAAGATTTATAGAAATAAATTAAAATACTTTTCTTGAATATTCATAGTTGCATTTACTTATATTATTTTCTCATAGAGGGTGCCAAAAAGTTGAGAGAAAAAGAAGACACCGGGACGAACACTATTTTTAAAGGACGAACGTACGAATTTTTGTTTCCTCTTTGTATTCAACAAACGCTATCGCTTTTAAAATAGTTTTTTGATCCCTAAAGGTGCAATTACACTTGGTCGTTGCTCGAATACGATTACCTATGGAATTTGGACCAACAACTGAGTGAAAATGAACGGAGTCGAGTGCGCCCATATTCGGACAGTTTTCGTTTTGGTTACCCGACACCGTCTTCCAGTCCGTGTTCGAGTAAAAACAATGTTAATATTCCATCGGGTGTCCGAAATCGAGTAATGTTTTTCGTGCACCCGAATACGGGCTAACGACCAAATGTAAATGCGCCTAAGTAAAAGAAAACTTCTATTTCTATGAAGAATATTAACAATATACATTATTACCCAATTACGAGCGACAAGGTACAAGATTTTCTGAAATGCAGAGGCCGCCTATAAAAGTATCTTGCATCATGGAGGCTGCAGCAAAAACATTAAATTGTCATTACGTGGCATGCAATGTACATACCATAACGATGAGATTAGTGCGTTCGGGCTCAGTGTCAGTATGCGCGATGATGCGGCGCAGTATAAGGCTGTATTTGGTGAGCCGTTGCATGGGCTTCACCATGATGTCGGACAGCTGCAGTCTGTCAAACATAATATCAAAATTAGCTACTGCTGTTGTGTAAGAAAAAGTTAAAGGTTTTTTATGTTTATGCAGGCAAACGATCTCTCCTTCCTACAATCTAGGGTCCTTTAAGAGAGGCATGAAGAAGCATTTTTGCAGACCTGCAAGGTGAGGATGGTTGTTGTAGCAGTTTATAACTGCTGTCCCAGCTATCTTCGTGTTTGGACTTTAGCACCACTTAACATTAAGTGGGGCTAAGTTTTTTTTTTTTTTTTTATATTACTAGGTAGGCAAATGACTCTACCCCACCTGATGTTAAGTGGTGATAAAGTCCAAACGCGAAGATAGCTGGTACAGCAGTTATTAACTGCTACACCAACCATCCTCACCTTGCCGGCCCGCAAAAATGCTTCTTCACACCTCTCTTAAAGGACCCCAGATTATAGGAAGGAGGGAACACGTGCGCGGGTAAAGAATTCCACTTACGAATAGTACGACAAAGAAATGAGTCGCCAAATTCATTCAAAAAGTCATTTGCCTACCTCGTTATAAAAATATAAATAAAACGAGCTGGCAATCCGCCTGAATGTAAGTGGCAATTCATGCGTTGCAGTCTCTGGAGGAAAAGGTTTACCCGCGTTAGGCTAGGTCCACTTGCAGCAATTTTGGTAAATCTCAATTTAACTAAAACTATATTTTACAAGAAAGTCAAATTGACATTGACGTTTTGGCATTTAAAAGTAAAATCTGGTTTTAACTGATGAGCAAATTTACTGCAAGTGGGCCTTAGTGAAGCAGATCTCTTTGCGTTTGGACTTCATCACCACTCAATATCAGGTGGCGTAAAGACATTTGCCTACCCTTCTATAAAAAGCATTGTTTGAGCTTATAGGTGATAAGAGCTACCATTCACAGACTTTACCCATATATTCATCATTCTGCATTTCCCTGCCCTTTAGCCCTTTTCTGTTATATAAAAGAAATCATCATCATCAGCCTATTTATGTCCCCACTGCTGGGGAACAGGCCTTCCCTATGGATGGAATAGGGAGATTGGGCCATGACCTACCACGCGGGCCCAGTGCGGATTGGTGGGTGCTAACGACTGCAGATGCAACCGGGACCAACGGCTTAACGTGCATCCCGAAGCACGGAGGGGCTCGAGATAGTAATTTTTGGTCACCCATCCAAAGATCGACCACGGCGAAAGTTGCTTAAGTTCAACGATCGCAGCCGCACGCGCTAACCACTTGCGCCATCGAGCCCTATAAAAGAAATATCTGGCTCAAATCGAAGCGGAACATTAAGCAAAGTTATTACCAAAATAAGCAATATTTTATTGAATAAAACTAGTTTTTCAGGGGTTAATGCACGAAACCTTATTTATTTATTGACGTTTCGCAGCCTTTACAGGCTGCGTCGTCGGAATAATTTTTTTATTTAATTTTGTCGAGCTACCTTTGAAAGACTTTTTTTTATTGAGCGTTCGGTTATTTCATTGTTCGATTTTAAAGTTTTATTGTCTATGTATGAATTTATTACTTAATTTAGTTAATAAAGTACTTTATTTAAAAATCTTTTCCTTAAAAATTCATTTAAAAATTTATTTTGAATTTATTGATTTGACCCTAACTACCGTAAACTACTACCGGTTCCAAAATTGGGAGACCTTTCTGAAAAGAACCGGCGAAATAAACTCAAGAGAGGCTTTCTATCTCCTTCTTATATTAAATTATGCAAACAAAAAGAACTAATAGTATCTGTTGGTCTTGCAGTGTGTGTTCGGGGTTGGGATTTTATCTCCTGTATAATGGGTTCTCAAGCTGGTGGTATATACCAACCATCTTCCCTATTGAAATTTGGATATTTTTTTAATCTCAATAGCCTCGCGTATCATTCTAGGAATGAATTCTTGCTCAGTTGCAAGGATCTGTGGTTTATCAAATCTAATGTAATGATTTGGTCCCCCTAATGCATGTTGCAGTGTGTGAACATGCATTAGGGGGACCAAACCATGCGAAATGTCAATAAATAAATAAAGTTTCGTGCATTAACCCGTGAAAAACTAGTTTTATTTAATGAGTGATGTGCGTGGAAACCTAAGAAACAAATATAATATTTTATTGGTTATAAGTAGAGAAGCCTAGTTGTGAGGTGCGTGTAGCCGCGATACACCCAAAAGATGTTGCATGAAATATTATGGCATTAATGCAAGTTATACCAGAATTCCACTGCTGTTTTCTTTCTATTAGTATCGGTTTTGATTATTTATTTGTAGTATATTCCTTTTCAAAACGTCAGCTTAAGCTATGTCCTAATTAACTTGAATCGCAAAAAACCGTGGCTGTCTTGCGAATCAAGTTCGTAGTTCGAAGCTCTCTTTTCAGCGCAAGAAGCCTTAGTCTACCTTCAAAGGCTCTATTTGCGATAATCTGAGATTGTTCAAATGGATGGATAGACCGGGCTCCAAATATTTTAAGCCAGAGGCCAACCCAAAGCAGTTCGAATCGATTAGCCAAACAATCTCTCACACTTTAGAAATACCTATAAAGCAGATCTCAAGACCAAAACGTAAAACCTTTGTTTTAATAATATGTGCCGGCAAGCTAGGCTGCATTGGTCCAGGCCTTTAAAATAACATTATTTTCAAAATAGAATACCTGTTGCACGACTTGTGCCCATGACACCAAGTAAGGTATGTCATGAAATCGGTGTTGCTAGACAATGATCGTAAGTAATCCAGTGCTTTAGTTTGTTCCTTGACGTATTTTTCGTATGGTTGGAATAGGTCACGAAAACGACAAAAACCAGCAGACATAAGCTCTGTATTGAATCTGTAACAAAATTTTCAACTTCAACATAGAACAAAATATTATGATTAATCATTACGTCATTTAAGAAAAAGGTATTGAAGTATATCTATTTTTATCGTTTGTTACAACTAAAATACCTATATTCTTTCTAAGTTTTGCTTAATAGAATGCACTGTATAACATATTCTATCCATTTCCACCCTGAACTCATTTTGTTTTGCTCGTTAGTTAGTTTGCATATTTAGACTGTTTAGTTTCCAGTGTGGCTTACGTTTTAAGCACGTAACTATAAATAGCATGAATAGTCAATGCGTAGAAGGGTCTACCTTTTATCGCGGAACTTTTAATGTCATAATATTATTATGCATATTAGCGGATGGCATAAATTTTATTCACAGGAAATCATTACTAATATATTTTTATTATTTTATTAACTTACAACTCATAATTTTGTAACCCAGAATCATCTTTAGGCATAAAGGGCAATGCCCATAGTAGACTCAGCGTGAACAAGGTGCTTGCCAAGCAACAACTATTTTACAAAATTATTTTATTTATTTTTAATCACTTTCTATAACCGTAATATAGTGGAAAGTTTCATTAATAATACAATAAAATTAAATGAAAATAATACGACCACTTCCTTTTATTAGTTATCTAATGTCACATGCTCAAAAACTGTAGTTGGCGAATTGAAGTAAGAATCACGGCATGTCAGCGATAACGGCTATGTTTGGCCGAATTTAGGTAAGCATCAAGTCATTTCAGCGATAATGGCAAGCATTGATCGGGTGTAAGACATTTACAGACAAGAGCTGCGTTCTAAAACTATGATACAGGTCTAACAAATGTCAAAATTTAAACATCAGAGTGAAAAGTTGCACTTGGAGCGTAGGTTTGGAACACACCCGAGCTGTCAAAAGAAAACTGCGTTTTTTAGTTTTAGACATTTAGTATTATGCATGTGACGTCGCACGTCATATTGCACAATATTATTTTTTCGCGGCATATTTAAAAATAGATGTTTTTTTTTATTTTATTTAATTGTGTTACAGAAAATGTATCTACCGAGTGACTAGACATCGTATTGGTAGTTATAATGACTCCGAATATTATAGATTGTTGCAAAAATGACTTCTTTGTGCTCACATTACCTTTTTCCATCGCGGTGTTAAAAATTGTTGTAAAGGATACTGATACAAAACTATAATGATTCAAAGGTTGGGGGTAGTTTAAGCTTCTTGCATTGTATAATTTTACTTATTAAAATGTCTGTCTAGGTAGAGCCAAATTCCCATTCAAAATTGGCATTGCGGATTGCCATCTACAAAAATTAAAAAGCAGAACCATCATATCCCACAAAGTTTACAGTCAGGATCGATTTATGGTATACAAATATATAACTTTTCCTTGTTTTATTTATCTGTCGAAGGTCTATAAATTTCAAGAAGAATATGCCAAGAGTGTCCTAAATTAATTTCGGAGTTACAAAATTCTCCCAGATAGCCTGCACATAACCCTGCGCAAAAATCCTAAAAGCTGTGATTACCCAATCAAAACGTATTTATTATTTTAAAATTTTATGGTCACTAACACTATAGTAACTCTGTGAAGGGACTCGCTAAAAATCAGATACCTACATGATATCAATCTTGCTAATTACTATAAAATAAGTATTTATACCCAAGCCACATTATCACATTGATTCTTATTCACACCAAAATACATATAAGCTCTAAAGGGATAAACTGACTACACTAATTTTTTTTCTGATTCGTTAGCTTATTTCAAGAAAGCAAGACGCCTTTATCACTTTCTTAACGAGCTCCATTAAAGAACTTACAAAACAAAATAAGATATTATTGATTTTTAGTAGCATTAAAGTAAAATAAATAAATAAAAGTGTGATTATGTTGATCTATATGATGGCCCAAGTATTCGTACTTGGGCCAACGTATTCAATTTAATTCAATTCAATTTATATGATATTAAATACCCTAGCACTTCTTGATAGATACCCTGTATATCCACGTGTGCTCAAAATCTGTCCCTATCAAGAAGTGCTTGAACACGATTCAAGCACTTCTTGGTTCACAGTCACGCGCGGACCGTTGAAAAGTCAACTTGCCGCTGAGATCCAAAAAAGCCGAGTAAAAATTCGAAATAAATACTTGTAGTATGTAAAATGAGGTTTTTTGTCAGGTATCTAATCAATGTTTGTTAATTTAACGCATTTGAAGCAAGTTTTGTTTTAATATTAACTATAAACTGATTTAATAGAAAATATTTGTGATATCAAATGCATGGTCGGTAATTTAGCAGTCTCTTATTCGCGCGGTCCGTTCCTGCTATATTGCTAACAGCGCATTCAGAATTGCGCGTAAAGTCAAAGAATTAAGGTATATATTCTGCCGCTTAAAGCAATAAGTCCTAAAATTTTACGAGCTTACATCTCGAACTGTCATAACTCTTAGACGCATGCGTTTGAATTAAGACCTTATACACTGTGCTTTAAAGGTGATTTTCAATGTTTAAATATGCCTGCCTTATGTTATTTAGACTACGCGATAATCTTATGGAGCTCCGTGGATCGTCCAATGTACCTTTTAAACAGGTTTCGGGCATGATTTTGTTCGTGTTGGTGTATCTAGGGTATTTAATATCGTTGACTGCATCACATAGATCACGAAGTATTCATAACGTCTGTCAACTTACGGTCCTGTTTTTTCGAAAGCATCGACGAGCATCGGATATATAGTGATCTCCCAGAAGCACAGGCTGGCGTTGAGTACATCGGGAATGTTTGAGAATAGTCGTTCGGAGTCAACATCAAGAAGTTTCCCGCTATCCTGCAGCGCGTGTGCAGCAGCTATGAACACCTGCCGGACGTATTAGAGTTTATAACTATGCATTAAATCATTATAAACTTTTTTATTTAATTTGAATAGGGTGACAAATTTATAGACGTAACATGATGGTATAAATGCCACTAAGTTAAAGCACATGAGCACTAAATAGATAGTTCAGAGGGTAATCTCATGAATGTTACTTCACATTTGCTACGGTCGGAGTTCGCGCTAGGATTGTCAACATTGGTTTGTACATAAAAAAAAAACATGGTAGTGACACTCATACGTATCTAATTGTTTGATTTATTGTTGAAAATGAAATAGGAAGAATGGAAATATAATCTAATGATCACCAATGTATTTAAATTTTAATGTTAGTTAAATGAAGACGCTTAAACTGGTTGAAAATGCGTGTTTTTATTCCTTTTTTTTGTCGTTTCGCACCCTTTTCTTGCTGCGTCGTCAGAATTAAATTGATTTTTTAATGTTATTGCTGTATTTTTATTAGTTGCACAAATAAAAAAATATATAATTCACCGTTTAATGTTGAATTCAAAGAACCGTCCACTGAACGGTTATTATATTTTTTTTTATTACTCCATTTTTTCACAAAAAGTTGACAGATGCGTGTCTCAAAGAGATTGGAAATCGTGCTCGCAGTAGTCCCAAGCGGTCCGAGATATCGTGTCCGTGAGCGGTGTATATGTGTGCCTTGCTCGAGCCCACTTTGTTTATACATGGCCTTTTGTACATGAGTAAATAAGACAAATTTCATGTAGTCTATCTATTTCATGCGGCCTATCGCCGCTAATAGAAACGTTTCTCTGCGTCTTTTGATTCTTGCTACAGTTTCTTATATTACTAAAAAAAAATTGGAAATATATTTGCTCACTCATTTGTTATTGTTATCTATATAAATTTGTTATTTTAAGTTAGTTAACAAGAACTGCGTCAAACAGCGTCAGTTGAACTATTATTTATTCACAATTTCATATTAGCTCAGAATCGACACCTAAGGAGTATGGGTTAAAATTATAACTCATTTCAGCTCCACAAAATTACACAAGTGTGTTATTTGGTTATAGTGTCCTATGAGCAGGTGGTTTGCTTTATGTACTTGTGTATACCCTACCTTTTCTTAAGTATAAAGTCACTGTTTCTCAAACACAGCGTCTTGCTACTTTTACTTCACATCCGGTTTTGTAATTGATTCTTTACAAAAAATGTGCCAATACTAAAACAACCTTTAACACAACACAGTTATAGAAATACAATTATAAATAACACAATAATAATGTATACGTAGGAATATTTATGCATTATGATTTGAACCACTGCTACGAAATTATCTGATTGTTTTTCCCAGAACTCGGTTTCATAAACACTACGGTTTATAAACACAACCACTACAGACTGCCAGCCGCTACATAGCAATTTGATATTTATCCTAATATTCAGGCGCAGAGGCTAGAACCTGTAATATTGTACCGCCAAGATTCTTTCGCAGGGTTTTAATAGCTGCTGCCAAAGGAATTTTATATTAGCCCGAACGGCGGTATCAGTGTGCATTGAAACAACGTTTAAATTGAGTAAGATGGATGGAAACTTGGTTATTGCTCCGCGAAATAACAGCCAAGACTAGATATTCATATAATGATCGGATAAAATAATCTTGTCTTGTGGTCAAGCAACTAAGTTGCTAACACGATTTTACTATTTTTTTTGTATATTACAATATATACTACAGATTATGTGGTATTTTGATATTTTGAACTGTTTAGGAAAGCTACCAAACTTACATATATATTTATTACAATTCATATTTTTATGTCCCCATCTGACACAAAAATAAAAGTAAGTACCTACATTTATAAGGATCCTTTTACATTCTCAAATAATACTTATAGCTTTCAAAGCCGGTACAAAATACTCCATAACCATTGGACAAAAGCGAAATAGCTAAGGCTAATAAACTTAAGAGGTCAACCACAAAACTATTGTAGCGATTAGCGATGTACTGATATCAAGGCATGTCCAAATTCTACAAAGTGTGCGAACGATTACAATTTGTGGCTTTGCGCTTTCATTATAATTAGTTTCACGAACTTGTTTAATACGTTTGATGTCGTTAATTAAAGTAAGGGTGAATCACAATTACTTTGTCTGTCAAAACTACATACAGTTTTATTTATAACTGTGCGAGATCTATGCTATTGTTAGATACTAAACGGTAGATAGTAGGACAATAATATAAAGAAACTAAAAATCAGGTATTAAATGATATATGCTCATCTATTTATATTACGTTAAAAGTATTTCAATAACGTAATACACGTGGCATCTGTTTTTTAACTCTGTGCATGATATCTTTAAATTAATTAAGAACAATGAATAGCTATAATCACAGAAATGAGAAAAGTTGATTAAATATAAGTTCTATACCAAGTAACTTAAAAGCAGGCTCTTCTTTAAGATTTTTACTGCTCATAAGTTTGTAAAGTCGAAATAGTACAATTTTGTTTAGGATTAATTTAGACAGGTCGTTAATGTAAATGAGGAACAGAACACATCCTAGAACGCTACCTTGAGGGTACCTACCTACATTTTCGTCATAAAGTCCTAATTAGAGCACAAAAATTATGTTTATTCCAAAGAAGCTTTATATTTTCCAATGATTTTTACCACACAGATTTTTACCAAACCTTCGATTTGTATTTCACCATAAATTAAACTTTCAGGTAACAATAGACCGACGTAAGTAAACTTTGACATCTTATAATACATGTAGTTCCATTACACGGTGCTTCAGTTTGGGGCAGGATCAGGTTCCATTGCTTAATGGTTGAAGTAATACGGGTGGAGCCCAGGAGAGCAAATAAAATGGGAGGAGGGAGGGGACTTGAGACAACATTCTGCGCCCAGTGCTGACATATTTTTATATGGTTTGATAAATCTATTATATGACTTAATCAGCTAGACATTAGATAAAATCACGGTAAGTCATTATACTAGAAATTTTCCGTTTTAATACCACTACTTACGGAGAAGAAAATATATAGAAAATATTCAGTTTCTAGTGTCAATTTAAATTTAATTAATATAATGTATATTATTAAAAAAAAAACAAGTTTGTTACAACACAATTTCATCTCACCGAAAGTGAGACCAATAAAATAATATTTCCGAACATTATTGTTAACCACAAAAATAAAACAAATGTCGCAGTTTTACGGTTCAGAAGACAGATGTGGATGACTTAGTATCGCCGCACACGGGCCACACGCCACAGCCACAAACGCCGCCACGAGAAGCTAGAAGCGGCTACTAAAGTGGCTGAAGCGCGCGACAGCGGCCGACTAAGGTAAGGGAGAGAGGGGTGGGGAATCGCGCGAGTGAGTGTGGCGGCGTTTTGTATCGACGCATTAACTGGCGCACCGGCCAGTTGGACCACAAGAAGCGAGCAACGACGATTTGTAGCCTGTGGCGGTCACCGGTGTACCGTGTGTGGCGAGTCCATATAAAATGTATGAAAACTATAAGAAATATGCCGGTGGCGGCATTTTGTGGTTGTGGTCGGTGGCCCGTGTGCGGCGACACTTAAACTTCTTAATTCAGGATGACGTCATTGTTACTCTACATTCATACAAAGTTTCTGACTCGTAGTGTCAGTTCACACAGACCGGCGTGGAGAGGATCGGAGCGCACTTTTCTTATCACACCAACTGGCGAGGATTATATACTCGGAGCCGACCAAGCCGTTTCACAAAGACCAGCTGGAAGAGCACAGTTAGAGAGGATGCGTTCGTATCCGATCTCTACAATACCTCTAGTTCCGCGCTGTACAAGTTTCGTTTTCGATCTATTGTGCTTTTAAAATTGATACAAGGATTTAGATAGCTCTGATGAAGAAAATAATATATTTAATGGCCAGATTACTTGAAGCATAGTACAACAAACGAAAGCGCAAATGCAAGCGGAGAGAATCATGGGTTGAAAATATTTGGAAAACTGGACTTAAACATGAGGAGAACGCAAATAGAGCCCTTTTTTTTCTTTTTTTTTTGTTGAGTGTGTATGCTGTTGGTCTCAGTTGACCTTTACAGAGTCACCGGGTTTGGGGACGGCGAGATCCTAAGGGGACCTCAAGCCGAGAATTGGCGAGTGCCTCTAGAGGTCTGGAGCCTCAAGACCACAAGAACCTGAGGGGGTCGGCTCAACTAGAGGGCGTCTCTGACACTCGGACATTGGCTCTAGTTAGCCGTTGTCGTGCGTGGGGGGTGGTGTTTGTGGCTTGTGTGGGAGGAATCGGAGGCGCGTTGGCGCGAGTGATATCGTCGTCGGGGTACTCTAAGACGTGCCTAGACCGACGGAATCGGAGGGACCTATGATTGGAGGACGGGAGAACGGTCGTGTGATAAGTAGCGGCTTTGCCTACTAAGGGGTTCGGATGATGCGCGGCTTTATTAATCTAATTCGAGATCGCGATGCAAATCAATGTTGCACACGTACCACGGGCAACTCGTGGCACAGCGCAACACAAGATTTTGCAGCGTTTGTAAAGGATTAAGACGCGACGGAGGTACGTGGGTAAATTGTCAACTTATGCCTAAGTGACATTTCACTGCACTTCCCAATGTGGTGGAATAACCTGCCGCGTATGAATGAACGTTAATCGGTTATTTAACATAACTCCCAAGTATTTGACCCGGTCCTCCCAGTGGATGACCCGGTCCAATAATTGGATGCTCGGAAGAGAAGGCGTGGGAGGCGGCGTCGTGCTAAAGAGGATCGCGACGCTTTTTTCCGGATAAACCTATATACGCCATCTGCGGAACTAATCACCAAGGGTGGTAGCGGCTGATTGAAGTCTATTACAGACTGTTCCGAGACGTCTATCGGAGACATAGAAGGCGGTGTCGTCAGCGAAAAGCTCGACGAGACCGAGTTTCCGGATCCCGATAACGTCGGCCTCTTTCCACTCTGCGGGAAATATCACGTTTGTCATAGCCGCGTTAAAGATCGCGGTGAAA